CCCCGAATATTCTCAATTCCAGCCACCAGAAAGTCCTGGTGACATGCCCAAAGCCTCTGCCCCGCCTGTCAGCTGCCCCCAGGCTGTGGGCTATTCTTTAGAGCCTCAGATCCCAGCCCTGCCACACGCACGGGCCCTGTGTGTCCCTCTGTCACGGCACTGACCACGCTGCACTGACGTCTTGTGGTTTCGCCTCGTTAAACTGGGACCCTCCTGAGGGTTGAGGTGGCTCTCACCCTCTCTGTCTTCCCAGTGCCTGCCCAGGCGAGGTTCTGACCCAGAGTAGACACTCAGTAGAGCTTTTTGTACACATGAAAGATTTATCACGGTGCCTCCAGAAAGAATGATGGGACTTGCATAAACTGACACGGTTATTATTGGAATTCATTTATTAAAAAAATACTGAATTACAGACTTTGTGCCAGCTACCATTCTACGCAGAGAGGATTCTGGTGGTAAATAAGCCAGACAAAAATCCCTGCTCTTAAGGGGCTTACATTCTAGTAGGAGAGACAGATAAATAAATAAATGACGTAATGTCAGATGGTGCTAAGTTCTGTGAAGAAAATAATACAGCAGAGCAAGAGAATAACAAATGATGGGGTCAAGGGAGTTGCAAATTTACTAGGGAAGACGTCTTTGTGTGGGTGATGTTTCAGCAGACACTTGATTGGGATGAAGGTTATTCCAGACAGAAGGAAGGGCACTTGCGAAGGTCGTGATGCCAAGGTGTATTTGCTATGCTTGAGGAACAACAATGAGGCCACTGTGGCTGAAGTGGATAGAGTATAGAAGGGAGTGGTAAGAGATGAGGCTGGAGAGGCAGAAAATGGCCAGCTCATATAGAGCCTTGTATGTCACAGTAGGGACTTAGGATTTTATTCCAAGTGGGATGGAAAGCAACTGAAGTGAATAGGTTACTAATATTACCAGCATCAAGGGAATTTATGATTAAGTAGCAAAATATGATATAACTCTAGCTTAAGAAACACTTGCAAAAGAAGGAAAAATAAGGCAGTTTATTAACTAAGACAGTGAGTTATCTAAAATTTATTAATAAAAACAAAATAGTTTGTAGAGGCAATACTTTACTTTTGAGTCATAAGCTGACTGTTGAATAACTTCAGGAGCCATCCAAAATGGAGTTCCCACAAAGGTATTTCTTTTAATTTGTGTATCTGTCAGCTGGCCAGCAACTCCAAAGTCAGCAAGTTTAACATCTCCTTGTTCTGAGAGCAAGACATTGGCAGCTAGGAGGAAAAAAGAAAAGAAAAAAAAACTCAGCTTCCTCAGAATGCACCTATTTTTCTCAGGTTCATATTAGACTTTTGTATACCTTTTATGTCTCGGTGAATTTTCTTCTCTGAATGCAGATAGTCCAGACCTTTCAAAATTTCCTTTAGCATGGTAGCGATCTGGAACTCATCAAATGGACCAGCTCGAAGCTTAAGGGGCAAAACACACACATACACACGTATGAAAGTTTGGAAACATAAAATTCAGAATTGATATCTTTGAAATAAGGAAATCACTTACATACATGAAGCAGTTCTGTTTATTAAACCAACATTTAAACAAATGAGGAAATTTTAAATGTGAAGGAATAAAGCAAAAGAGTTAAGTCAAAAGGCTGAACAGGTTTTTAAATGATTACATTTCACACTGAAAGATAATACAAGCACTTTCATCTATATACTAGGGTCCGAAATCTAAGGTTCCTGAATATTTACAAAGATTTCAGAAATATGCTTAAATAATGACAGAACCAGTTATCTTTTCTTGGAAAAAAAGAAATCAGCTATATAAACTCTGACATTTGCTGTTAAAAAGTTATTACATATTGACACTAAACTGATTTTTAGATCAGACAATCCATAAGATTTTCATAGCAACTATTTGATCATATTCATCAGCCATTTATGTGTTTCAATAATACTGTAAAGAATAGAGCCTTTCTGAGATTCAAATTGTAAATTTAGCCAGGAATATAATAATTAAACCATTCAGACTTTCATTATAAATTTTTTTAAATCATGGAAGAATAATGTTTTTCAAATAAATGTAACACATTTCCATTTCTTTCCCCATCCCTGTACCGAAGCCAATAGTTCCAACTGGAATACAAGGAAAGCAATGATTAGGTTTCAGGAGAACTTGTAATGGAATATCTGAAAATCTCTCTTTAAAATAAATGGTTATTTTAAAATTCTGGTACCTCATAAAGCACAAACAGTAGACTGTACAATATTATTACAGGAAAGGGTGGGAATCTAAAGTCAGAGCCGAGGTAGAGTTCTGTTTGCTGGAAGGAGGGAAGAGGTGGTAAAAATCAAACATTGCCCACTCTGCCTCACACCGGGAGAGATCCACAGCTCTTTGGCACCTTGTGCATTTCATCTTTCATGAATGCCATATTTATGCTGAATAAAGGGCACTTTCATGTTGAAATTTAACAACTTAAAATAGAACCCATACTTAGGTCTCACCATTTAACATTAACTGTGGTCTGGGTATATAGTATACTCCAGGGATGTTCGTAATTCAATAGGTCCCTTTCCTAGGTAACATTATCTATTTACTTTTAAATCGATCAACTTCCACCCCAAATGTTTCTATTTAAACAGTAGTGATTAAAGTAGTTTCTAAAGTTTTTTAGAGAAGGTTAAAATGGCATATTATCTTATTGATGGCTAGCAATAAACTGCTGGGGTACTACCAAACAACTGAAGGACAAATGTCATACTACTTAAGATTAGTACTTAGGATCACCTGATCATAAAACATTGGCAGGGCCAGAGGAGGTATATCCTTGGTTACTAAAGTCCATAAAGGGGTACTAGCTATCATTCTGAAGGACATTTAAACATAGCATTAATAAGCCAGTATATTACCTGATACAGAATTTTAAAAAATATTTCAGTAAAAAACAAGAAAAAAGAAGTCCTAAAGATCCATGAACTTATTTGTTGTATTACAGGATTAGTTTAAAATTTAATAAAAGTAAAATTTCAACTAACTGGGTGTTGGAAGAGGATGGGGGGGAAGACTCTGGGGCAGGAAAATGGGCATGGGATGATGGTATGGGTGAGTTTTTCTGGTTCATTGTCACACAGAAAACTGTCCCAAACCTTGTGGCTAGAATGTTTCCTTAGACATGTTGGTAATGATTAGAATGGAGAAAAAAGGGAGTTGGAAAGGGAAAGAAGGTAAAGTAGATGAAACAGAGGTTGTTTTTCTATTTCTAATATGACCTTGGGAGAGATAATGCCAGGATCTTGGTCTACTGTCCTGGAAAGCATAATTGAATTTCTCTCCAACGACTGGAGACGTTGCCATGTCTCTAATAGGTAACACCTGTGCCCTGGGGCAGTATACTGACCTTGTGTAATTTGCCTCTGTTGTCAAATGAGGATATACAAGAGAGGGACATTTGCTCTTACAAAGACTGTACAATTGTGGGCCTGTGGATCCTCCTTATGCTCCTTTGACTTCCAGCCAGTTGCCAATGCAGCAAGCTATGTTATATCTTCTCTTGTGGTTAGCATATTGTTTCCAACCTTTTTTTCTTGGTGTTCATGTTTTATTCTGTTCACCTTATTATATGTGTTTTTGCTGTAAGCCACTGCAATTTTTTTTGGAAAGAACTAGGGTATAATAAATTCAATAAAATAATGCACACCATGCTCTAAATCTGCTCACATACAACTAACTGTTTTTCTAGAATGGAAGAGACTCTTGAAGTACACATTGTATAATGTTGAAATAAATGACATGTCATAATCTTATGTTATTCCATTAGTCAGGCCCCAGGCACCACTTCAAAGTGAGAAACACTCTCTCTGCTCAATATCCCTCTTGTTTCCTCTTGTTCCCGGTCGCAGAGCCCTTCTATACACTTAATCCTTTCTTAGATTCCTCAAATGATAGCATTCATCTGTATAGGAGTACATATGGAAAAGGAATAGCACATTTTCTCATTATATGCTCTCCCTATAAAGTCCAGTTAAATGAGGTTTATAATTAAATCACGATATTATCGAATTTTAGAGCTAGAAAAACAAAACTAGAGAGGACTAATCCAATTTCTTCATTTAACAGTTGAGTAAATTAGGGCACAAAGAGGTTAAATGGCTTGCCCAATTATTAGCCAGGTAATCAGTGCTAGAACTGGGACTAAGATGTAGGGTTTTTTTTATTCTTAGCTAATACAGTGCTGACAACATTTTTAATTTGTTGAATTTACACTAATTGTTATTGTTTTATTAAGCACAGATCAGAATGGAAGGAGGAGATTAAGAACTCACAATAATTTCACTTGGAGATTTCATAAAACTGGTCAAACTAATACTACTAAGGTATACAGATCAGGGTTGTGAGTTGGAGTTAGGCCAGTGTTTGATGCTTAGCATTGCTATCAGTGAACTAGCTTTGTCAATGCCTACAAAACAGGGAAAAGACATGGTAAGCACCTTGAGGCACCAGAAAAGGGAACCAATAAATTTGGAAAGGACTCTTAATATTCAAATTAATGGAAGGAGGATCATGGAACAATTGAGAGGCTTCTTGTGGAGCTAATGAATAAACTATTGTATAATAAGACTCTGTGATAAGACACATAAAAATGAGATTATTTAATTTCAAGAGGAGAATGAAGCCTGACTCCACATGCATGAAGGATTATTATACAAAGAAACACCAGTGGTGTTCTCTCACCACAGAGAAGAAAGAAAAAAATGAACTCAAGGTTAGGATATAAGAACTAGATTAGACACAAGGAAGGATCACCAAACTTAGCAACTGATTAAACTGACATGAATTCCTAGCAGTAGATGAGGCTCTCCATCAGGTTTAATTACTATTTCTTTAGAATGGTTTGAGTATGGTTCTACGTAAAGGGAAGAAAATCTCTTATGGCCATTTCTGTTCACAGGAATATTTGAAACTTTGAGTTGGCAGTCAAGGTTAAAGCCTTTTAAAAATATTTAATCCCTTTCAGTTAGGAAAACTCATTTCCACTTAAAAAATAAGAATTAAAATATTACTTAGTAATCTTCACCTAAACACTTTCTTCTTAGAAACAGCATACTCTATAATTTCAAAGGAAGAAGCATGCAAATAAAAGACATATAGTATTAAAGATGGAAGGGAACATAGAAATAACTTAATTCAACTTCTTTATTTTATAGGATAGCCAAGTCCAGGAAATTTGTCTGATTGTCTGATCCACAGTCACAGATCTAGTTATGAGTAGAGCCAGCGCTATAACCTCAAACTCCCATAGGACAGCCCAGTAGTATTCTACTACACAAAGTTACCTCTCATAATGCACACTGAATTTTAACATGTCATATTAATAAATATTTTGAAGGACAGAAAAAACATTATAGGATGGCATTAACTTGGGAAAACAACCAGTGTTTCTCAAAGGCATTCCGTGTATAAACATATCTTCGCCAAGTGGAATTTTCCTGAACACTGCAGGATTTTGGCATTCTGATATCCCTGTCCACTAAAATGGCAGTAGCACTTCCAAGTTATTATGACAACCCAAAATGCCATCACATTTCAAAATGACCTATAGAGGTGTAGAGAGAACTCTGTAGAGAACTGGATCTGTAGCCCTATTTCGTCAGAACCCTAGAAACACTATCTTAGTTGGGGCTGCTATAACAGAATACAACACCAAAGTGTATTTCTCACAGTTCTGGTGGCCGGAAAGGAAGTCCAACATCAAGGTGCCAGCAGATTGGTGTCTGGTGAGAGCATTCTTTCTGGTTTCCGTATGGCCTTCTTCTCATTGTACCCTCACATGATAGAAAAAGAGCTACAGAGCTCTCTAGGGCCTCTTTCATAAGGGCACTAATCTCACTCATGAGGGCTCCACCCTCATGACCTAATGACCTCCCAAAGACCCCACCTCCTAATACTATTACATTGGAGTTAGGATTTTAACAGAATTTTGGGAGGACACAATATTCAGTCCCTAACAACCACTTTCAGTGACAGTTATCTATATTACATATTTTTTAAAATCTAAGAATACTCAGTCTTTTCAGGGATAAGTTTATAAAAGTCAAACTTAAAACTTACTGTAATTTACACATACCCACGTCTAATTTGGGGGACTTTATTTTATTAAGCTATTTGCATTTTTTATATACTCTTAGAATGTCAAGAACATGTTCAAACCTACAATATATCTGGTATCTACATAAGGATAGTGGTCCTGAAGAAAGAGTTTAATTTGAACATATTAACTAAAGCAACTACTTAGCTTGCCCAAGAGACATTGTTTACTTCAATTAAAAGAACAAAAATTATAGGTACATGTGGATGTGCACACATGTGCACACGTGTGTATAATTATATTAAAAATACTTACAAGATCCAGGGCTGAACCACCACCCAGGTATTCCATTATTATCCATAATTTAGAACCCTGTAAAGTCAAACAATTTAATAATTACAAACCTGAGCCAAAATTACATACTAGCAAAAATGTTAAATCTCACATACTAATACACAGATTCTAAAATATGTTTAAAAGTCTTAGCCTGGAACCCAGAATATATTTTTTTCCATACAGCATTAAAATGAAAGTAAAGTTCTGAGCTTAGACTCCCCCTCCAAACCTATAGCTTGAAATACTAGGGATACCTTTCTTTCCATACCATTTCATGAGTGGTATTCTCTGAATTTTTGTGTGACCACAGAGCTGACTAGAGTAGAATGTTTGCTATGCTGGCAGCAGTGAAGCTGTAACCGGGTTTTGTTCCAAAAATCAATTTTTAAGTAAAATATTTGGAATTTTGAAAGTAAACATTTTCCCATAAAAATAATATCTAGGTTCCTGGGGTAGTCCTCCCAAAAGACAATTTCACACAAATGTATTCGTAGTGTAGCATGAGGAGTACCAGAGAAACTCACTACTATTTATACTTTAACAATTTTTCTAGGGGAAAAATATATTCAGTGTTGTGCTTCAACTTGGGATGCCAGAAACACATTTGTCACCTTTACAGCCCCAGCTGTGGGATGAAGATTTTCAAGCTACTGCTGGTAGTCCTCAAACTCTAAAATCCCTGGGAGGTAGTCAGGAGTTCAATTTAAAATTTCCAAGCATCTCCATGGGGCTGAGACTTTATCAAGGCAGAGAATGGACTCCAGTGACAGGACGATGAGTGCTTAGGGCATGGGGGAGGGTTGAAGAATCAGAGGTGAATTGACATTGTAGTGTAGGGAATGCGACATGGCCCAGGGTTAGGGACCAGGGAGGGAGTGCTCAGTTAATTAAGACAAAAGGATTCTCCTTTCTTGATGCTGACACTATGTATAATGTATAAGAGAGAGAGAGAAATGGTGTTCCCCTAACTTTTCTACCTCCTCTGCTAATCTTGACATCCACTCTGTCCTGCTGTAGCTGGCCAGCTTGAACCAAGGAAAGCAAGCTGAGTCTTTGTTAGCGGTGGTGTCTACAGTAGGAAAGAAAGGAAATAAATTCCCACAACAGCGGTGAGGGAAGAGGAGTTCCTGAAGAGGTTCATGTAAGTTGTATTTGTGTATAGAAATCAGGCACTCAGAACCTGAGAATTGTGAACCTGATGCATCTTTATACTTTTTAAAAGAGAAGACAAAAGTGGTTCTTACAACGGCATATAGCTTAAGAATTTTTTCTTTTACCTGTTTGCTTCTAACAAGCACTATATTCTATCCTATGAATTCAGAAAGCTTTCCATTCACCTGACATTTAAAAGAAAAAGATCTTATACATCACGTTTATCTGTTTTACAGGTCTACATGAATGAAAGCACCTGTTTTCCAAGTTTAAAACGTTTTGTGCCTTTTTGTTTGTATCAATTCAAAATGGAAACTTGCCAACTGTCTGTCACTAAAAAGTATTCATAGAAAGCTTGAAATGTGACTTTACAAAGTAGTATATATCGTTGAGTTATTAAAGTTATGACTAAGCAATTTCTAGATCTGAAAATAAGGCTTCTTACCAGCAAGCAAGCTGTTCAGCAGAACTAGGACTCCTCTGGACAGGAAGGGGACCAAAGCTACCCAATAGCCTTCCTGGCTACCTCCTTTTGACCGCCACTTCTGGAGACAAGCCTCACTGAGGGGTGACCACAGGATCCGAACATTCGGAAGATTTCTAGGCAGGCATGGGCCTGATGCAAGGCCTGAGTGGGCACCGATGGGAAGGGTGGGCTGGCGGGGCTCCTCCCCGCTCAAGGAAGCTTAACCCACAAAAGATCTTCTGACCAATTCCTTGTCCACAGCACGTCTCAATGGTTCAATGAAATCACCAATCATAAACAAAACCAAAAAAAAAAAACCTAGACCCTATCATCCTATTATTTTGGGAGATGACAAAATACCTTTGATATCTGGTAAAAGAATTTAGTGCTGGAGAGTGCAAATAAGTGTGTTTGGTTTGCTTTTTAAATAATTTAAAAGGCTATGATGGTATGTACATACTGGTTTATAATTCCTAAAGAACCAAGTGACTATAAACTATAGCCATAAACCCAACACATTTAAGTGTACGAAGGCCCTGAAGGAAAAACTCCACTTCTCCACTTATAAAAATATCCACACATTTGAACATTAGTTTGGAAGAGTTAAGTCATACATCAACATGGGTGGTCATTCACGATTAGGAAATTGTCCCCAAATTCAGAACACCTAAAGAGTAACTGCTCCAGAGTTGTACTAGTTATTGGAAATAAGTTAGATGCTAGCGTTAACAAAGTACTGGTGTCTGAAGCATCGACTCTGTCACCCCATGAGGGCTTTGAACCCCAACTGTTTGCTGCTAAAGCAGATACTTGGCCAAAGTGGAAAGAAATGCTCTACGGAACTCGGAATGCGTTTGTTTACAAAAATATTTAATATATCCATAATGTATATTGAGAGAGCATTATTTATACTACATACATGTTGAATTCAGTGAGCTGGTCTAGTAACCCAATAGCCAACCAAAAAATTGGCCACGTAAACTGGCATGTATAATTGAAATAAGCCAGTCACAAAAGGACAAATATTATATGATTCCACTTATATGAGGTACCTGGAGTTGTCAAATTCATAAAGACAAAAAGTAGGATGGTAGTAGCCAAGAACTGTGGGGGGAGGGAAGTTATTAATATTATTTAATGGGTACAGAGTTTCAATTGGTGAAGGTGTTCTGAAAGTGCATGATGGTCAGGGGTGCACAACAATGTGAATGTACTTGAAGCTACTGAACTATATGGTTTAAATGGTAAATTTTATGTCATGTATATTTTACCACAATTTAAAAAACACAGCATGTGAGATTTATAAAACAGCAAGGGACAGAAGAGACCATTTTGCCTAGAATATGGCTAGACACTTTACCACCTCTGAGCCATTTTCTTCCAGTTTGGAATGCCTTGTTCATACCCCACCCCTACATCCCAAACCCCACTAAAATCATACTCAAGACCTAGTTCAAATGCTACTTCGCCAGTGTTAGGGTTATTGTACTTAGTGTAACCAGACGTTATTAAGATGAGGCAAGTTATAAATATATATCTGGGGCTGAGGAGAAAGGTTACAACCAGAGACATAAATTTACAAGTTGTCAGAATAAAGTGGATGAGATCGACCAGGGCAAATATGCAAAATGAGAGGAATACACACAGTAGGCATTTAATAAATAAATGTCTGTTGAATTGAATCTAATATGGAGCTCCTTAGAGCTGTGTTATATTAAGTTTAAAGCTATTCTTATTTTGAGAAAAGAGTATTTTAATAAGGAAAAAAAGTTTCTGTCCCCGATTTTAAGTTTTACAAGAGAATGCCACAAAAATGTTAAAAAGAATATTCCAGAGACATCAAGCATACACTAGATGTAAGCACACACACAGTTTCATTGAAAAATACTGAGAAGGCCAGAAAACTGTACAAACTATTCTCGAATATTTTACTTCATTCAATTCTTTTTTAAAAAATAAATACTGGTGGTAGTATCGGAGGGGACAATATTTCCTTAACATACACAGAAATCTAAAGGCAATTTTCAGCTGCAAATAAAGGCATGATTCAAATTCTATTCAATGCCTGAGTGAGCTTCATTTTAAGATTTATACCGAACTAGAAAAATATTTAAAGATTATAAAAGATTCTTCCAATGTTATGAGATCAGAAGGGAAGGGTTTGCTTATTTTAGCACTCTTCATAAAGACTAACTTTGTCTGTCAAGAAAATCTGCAGCGAACTAAAATTAAAGGAAAACACTGTGGTCATACTGATGTGTTTGTCTGGGTTTTACTCGTGTTTTTAAAAATGAAGCTATACAGTGAGCTCAGTCAAAATGAATACCTAGTACATTTTCTGCATGTCTCAAGGAAATCACTACAACTGGATACAGTTTCAAAGAGCATATAATTTTCTCTCAAATGTAATAACCTTTTCCTCTAGCTTACAGTGAGGTCTTGATTATGTATGATATCCTGTGTAAGAACAACCCATATCCTACTTTCCTCAATTAACTTTACTTACAAAATCCTCCCCTGTCACCTGAAATTAGAAGGATGGGCCACAATAAGTACGTAAGTTGATTGATAATGCAGTTCCCTGATGATACTAAGAGGATGTGGCCTTGAATTAAGTTGAATGCCTTAAACGGAACCGTGTCATATTTGACGTGATTTTAGTTTAGGAAAAAAATTCAAGCCCACAGAGTCATACTACATTTTAATATAAATGGAAAATAAATGAGTTGGTCAATTTAAGAAAGTGATTTAAATACATAGTATGAAAAGGTTTATAAGATCACAGGATATTTCTCTTTCTCTGTGTGTATGTTTATATACAGATATAAGTACATACATTTATTTACTTTAAATAGATTCAGTATGTAAATAATATCAGCCAGCGGTACATTTCTATAATTTTATCATAAGGGAAAATGTTCTTCAATGTAGTCTTTCACATCATAGATTTTAATTAATGATGGGTGATAAAAATAATTCAGTTTAATATTTTAAGAAGACATCTTGAACAATGGTTTTGTATCACTGACTGGTCTGAGTACATTGTACAATCATGATTTATGACAAACAAAAATTAATTTCATTTATTTAAAGATTAAGTAATTACCAGGTGACTAGTACATATATACTTCTTTGTTACTTAAAAAAAAACTCTGTGAAATCATAGAAGATATAGAGCTATAACTCATTTTTTGATGAGAATACTGAATATGAATAAACAAAGGCTATAAGCAACCAGTAAAATAGTCAAACCGTATCAGTATCAATTTTCAACATATTATAGAATAGTCATTTAAAAGAGGGTTTATTTAATATTTTAAGTCAGCTACCAAAAAAAAATAGCTTATTTGTCACAGGTGCTTAAAATTATTAATAGCAAGGGTTCAGGTTTGATCTAGAGCAGGTCTAGAATTACCAGCATTCAATCCAGAAAGAATAAACCACAATGAGCAAATAAAACACATACACACACACACACACATACACACTCAAAAGCAAATTCCTGGAGCAGCCTGCTAAGGAAATTAGGAGGGGAACCTAAAACTACTGAAATTAAGTGATCATTCATAAGATTTCTAAAACAGAATATGACCTGCTAAATTAGCTTGTTAGGAACAAATATGAAAGTAAAATTATTCCACAAAGGACCGAATAATTATGTATGTAGTAAAATACAGTAACAGCTAACACTTAGAAGTAAATGCTGAAATTGGATAGAAATTACCAGCATTATCATCTCCTCTTGGAGGCCTTTTTTTCATGCCACTCCTGAAAATGAAGGATAGAAGTGACTACTTGCTTATTTGTGCCTCATCTTGTACATACTTTAATCATAAAATCTGCACCATTTTAGTATAATACTGGACTGTGAGCTCCACTACTGAGCTGCTCATTTACATCTTTGGCACCCAGTACAGTGTATTTATGACATAGTTTAATGATTCATTCTACTATACGCTCATTCTACGTACATCTAATATTAGAATAAATCAGGCTTTGTAAAAAGGCAGTGAAACTGATGATGAATTTCTGTATCAGTATTAACTAACATAGATACAGACAGATAAAGAAAGTGATGACAGAGTGAAGTCACCAAGATGGTGGGGAAGGACATACCAGCCTTCAAAATCCCACAAAAAAACAAATATAGACAGCTATCCACAAACCAAAATAACCATGGGATGGTTCAAGGCCCCTTTTAAGAATCTTCAACAATACAGTGGAACAAAAAAAAGAGACTATGTCCACAGAAAGGATCACTGATGAGATCAGCTACCTGAGAGGCCAGGAGATGGCTAGGAACAAAGAAGAAAGGCAGAGGCTATTGGTATCACCACACAGTGAGAGCCACCATGGTCCCCCGAGGCCTGATCCGCAGAGGAGACTGGCATTTCTTGCTATTGAGGTAGCCAACAGCCATTCCTACCAAGGAACCCCAGAGAGGGAGACATGGCTACAAAACCCTTCTACCTCAAGCAGCAGATGCTGTTGAGCTATCTGGGGAAAGGAGCTGCCACTCTCCCAACCCATGCAAGCTCCTGACCCCTAAATCATGCCTGCCCTGTGAGTGCCCACACTCCAGACCCAGGCTCTATGGCTGCACTACACTTAATCACGCTTCAGACACCTAAGGCATGACCATAGTGAGCTAGCTCACACCTTGGGACCTGGAGCCAAGGTCTCTCTAAGTGTGCCTGTGCTCCAGACACCCACACAGTCACTGTTGAAACCTAGCCTGCACTCCGGATTCCAGACAGGATCTGTGGCTACACTGCACCCACCCACAGCACAGACACCAGAGCCACCCACAGCCATAGTGAACTAGCTCACACCTTGGACCCCAGAGCCAAGGTCCCTCTGCGTATGCCTGTGGTCTGGACAGCAGCTCAGCTACCAGAGAGAGCTAGGCCCCGCCCTTCCCTCAGAACCACTGTGGCTTGGTGCATGCCCATTCTCCTGTTCCCTGGCTACTTCGCAAACATCTGTGCTTTGAACATCCTTACCAGCACAGCAGTGTAAGGTGTCTGCACCTCAGACATCAGTGCCATTACTGCCCCAGGTCCAAGAGCAGTAGTCCCTCCAGGCATGTCTGTATTTGAGGCCTCAGCTCTGGGGCCACTCCATGGGCATCACTCATCAGACATCAGTGCCACCTTGAGTGGGCCCCAAGGCAGACCCAGTGCCAAGAGGGATCCGCTCTGTCATAATTTCCCTGGTGAGAGAAAAAGCGATTGGAAGGACCCTAGCAGCCCCCACTACCAAAGACCTCCAACAGCCCTCACCATTGCTGTGGACACCCACATGTTCACCACTGAGGATCCCTGCAATCTTGTCAACACTAATATCAGTTGACAGAGTTGCACAGAGACCACGATGCTGTGCCCTCACTGGAGCCAGACTGCTGTAGCCTACCTAGACATTGCCCTTGCACCATCCTATAGAGGAAGGTCTTTCCACACTGAAACCTGTAATGTCTGAAAGAGGTGAATGCTCCACCAAATGCACAGATGTCAACATATGGCAACAAGAAAAATGAAAAACCAAGGAAACATCTTACTGCCAAAAGAACACAATAGTTTCCCAGTAGCTGACTACAAATAAATTGAGATTTATAAACTGCCTGGTGAAGAATTCAAAATAATTTTGTTAAGGAAGCTCACCAAACTTTGACAAAATACAAAGAAACAATTAAATGAAATCAGGAAAATAAAAAATGAACAAAATGAGAAATTTAAGAAACATTAAATCATTTTAAAAAACCAGAAACTTTTGAGTCGAAAAATACAATGAATTAAATGAAAAATCCAATGACAGTGTCAACAGCAGAACTGATCAAGCAGAAAGAAGAACCTAGGAACTCGAAGACAGGTTATTTGAAAAAGATATAGATAGATATCCTAGGATGTATTTGATCAGCACAGCATAAAAAGTTAGCACTAATTTTTACACAGGCCAACAGCTTAATGAGTTATAAACACACTCTTTCTGGCATACAGATTGATCAACAACAAAAAGCCTTCCCCCCATATAAACATTGAAAGGCAAAGATCTAATACTGCCTTCCTTTGAAAAATTTCAACCCAAGGATAAACAATTTTAAGATAATTTAAACTCTAAACTAAGCTAGAGTTTTTTAGCTTTTTATTCTTCACATTTTAATAGACACAAATCCTGACTTCTAACTATGGAGCCCAAGAACTCTTGGGTTTTACCAACCAAAGTTTTCCATTATGTAGTAACATCTCTATCTGCTGGACTTTTAGGTGTCTGCTAATTCTATGATCCTGGAACTAGTAAAAATGCAATTTTTGTTTCAGAGGGGAGAACAGATATTATTACACTTAACTCCCGTTTTTGCAAATATTTATCATGTGCTTAAGATGTGCCATACCCTGTACTAACTGATGTAAAAATGAAGACTGGTTAAGCCAAATCCAGTGGGAGAAAGAAATGTGTAAATAAACACCATAACTCAATGGAATAAGTGATATACATTTTCCATTAATTTTGAGGTTGAGACAGACTAGACCACTGAAAATAGTGTGTAGAAACCCAGGGGGACAGCTCTTTCCTGACAAAGGATATGTCTCCAGGACTAGCTGTATTTCTGTTTCTCCATCAAACCAAAAGTTCAGGTGTGGAAAAAGGGTGCAGCTGAGTACTGGGATGCATTCAGGATACAGCTGCTAAATCTAACAACGGTTTATTTGGCACTATAAATGGAGCTGGATTCTGCCTAGAGGCCAAAGACTGCCAAATCCTAATTTAAGACATTGCTTTTCAAAAAATAGAATTAAAAAAAGAAAAACGTATAATGAAAATACCTTATGACTTAAATAATACAGCACACACATTACCTTTAAATATGATCCATAGTATTTTGTTACATATGAGCTGTCACACTGACTCAACACAGTTATTTCTTGCTGAATGTCTTCTATTTCATCTTCGGCTTCCTCAAGGTCTATGATTTTAATAGCAACCACTTGCTGAGTACGGTTATCAATTCCTTTGAAAACTTCTCCAAATGAGCCTTTCCCAATGCGTTCTAATTTTGTGAACAGTTCTTCTGGATCAGCTATATTATTCTAAAGGGGATGAGGAGAGAGAAAGAACACAAATGTTTTGCATTAAATTTTTTAAGTGAAGGAAAATAAATCACACAAGACAGTAACACATTTGTTAAAGCATACACGTTCCTTTGACTCTCCACATGTGCTTTGTTAGAACAATTGTAATACCAAATTGCCAGCTAGTCCATATTCTACTGGATCACCCACACCAACCAGGCTTAGCTGATCTTGCTACCACAAACAATCCCATACAGCAAAAGTATCTCATGCTTGACAAAAGATCAGGCACTTTTTGGAAAAAAAGCACCTGATTATATACAGTTTTCACATTAATGCAAATGTAGCAATAGTGAGAGAACATCTAACCTGAGCTAAGGTGAATCATTTAAAATTGTAACATTCTGACAATATTACCTTTTAACTCTCCTCTGTCTCCAACTCAGATATCCCAATCACCCCAACTACACTTCCAAATCACCATCTAAACAACACAGAATGCAAAGGACTCCAGGTTTTACAAGTCTTTCTTTTTTTCTTTCTTTCTTTGTTTGGGATCCTTTCTATATGTAATGTTCTCATCAATGGCTGAAATAGCATTGTGTGCCTTTGTTACAGAATAAGTTAACTTTGCTTCAATAAAATCTGGAATCAAGCATAACTTTTTAAGGTTAACAAATGTATAGGCATGACTTAGGTTTACAAATTCACTGTCATTTCCTGATTCAGAAATATCCTTTATCTTATAATATATTGTGAATTAAATTTTTTCCCATGAGACAATCTTTATATCCTTACTTAAACTCATAATGCTGAAGATATATTGCTAATCAAGTAGAAACTCAAGATTTCCAACCCCCCAAAGTGCATTATTAATCAAAAACTTTGAGTTCCTTCAAAATATAGGAGGATGCTATCTAGTTCTGGTGAGCTACCTATATTTAATTTGTCAATTGTACCTTGTTCATTTACTACAATTTTACCTAGTTTCTCATAACCATCAATTTCAGGAGACCATCGATTTATGGATTTAGCATGTTCCTTATATCTTCCTTTAGACAAAGAGGCCATTAAAATTTGTTGTCTTTCTCTTATCAAGTTCTTTGTACCATGACCACCAAACAGACACACTACTACTCCAGTAAACTGATTCTGTTTAAGGTAACTTCAAAACTTATGACTACTTTTAAAGAATTTCACTAAATAACACAGCACGCACATAACTGTTTTGAGTCAGTGTGACAGCTCATATATAACGAAATATTACAGGTCATATTTAAGGGCAATATGTATGATATATTATTTAAGTGAATTTTATTTTTTCGACATGCTTAAAATACAGTTTGCATATGACCTGTTTACCTTATAACCTTCCCCATTCCCCTTGATTAGATTTTTTCATTTCTAAAAGATGCACTTTCCATGTGGAAGTCTCTGATATTGCAAGTTACTTGTGTATCCCCACCCGCCTCCAGTACCCACATGGAACAAATACATCTTGAGCTTCCCATACGGGCTTTTAAAAATAGTTTAGGCTTCTAGTACGTTGCAAATGCATCTTTAATGCTCACATTTTGCTATAATACCTTCTCAAGAACTTGAGTACCATCATTATTGATTTCCTTGGTGTCTTCTCTTGCTAAGACATTGTACTTCATTGTGATTATTATCACATAGTGGCTAACCCACAGTTACCTCTTCCTACTTTGGGTGATGGTTCTTGGCTTTGTAGTACCTTGTGGCAAAAAATACCCACCAAATAGCTTGGTGATGAGTTCACCTCCCTATAACTTCCTAAATTCAGTAGACTTGGAAAAAATCCATGACGAGTCTTTCAGTTTTTCTGACACAGCTACAAAATAATTCTAAAATTTGGAAATATGCCATTGATTAAAAAAATACATGGTTATGTACCTTCTGATAACACTCTGGTAAGTGTGTGTATTCATTAACTTTATAACAAGAATTTTCTGTTGTTAAGAAACAAAAATTAAATCCTAATCTTCTTAATTAGTGTTTTAAAAGGATTTGACTGAAACAATCAACCCCAGGGAGGATACAGCTGTTCCTTGCTTGCTATAATAAATGGGCTCTTGCAAACACGTAAATCAAAAATTTAAAAACCAAGTCACAGTTTGCATTTTAAAGAAGCTCTGAAGTAAATCCTAATTCATGAATATAATTTAAGATTTTAAATCAAGGAATAGCAAATTGGAGACAGAAAATGAGAAAGACTCATCATTTACTCAATGTTTGCTCTTCCTACTCTTTTATTTTGGGTCTAAAACTTTTCGTGCAAAACACCAAATTTCAGAGTGGAAACAAGATTTACTAGTATAACCTCTCTTCCCTAACTATTGAGGGATAGAGATCCCTTTCCCACTTACCAATTCCTGAACCTCTGATAGATTACATTGAAGTTCTAATTCCCCCTTCATCATCTTAAACCAAAGTATCCTGTCTTTATTAAAACAGATTTACTTCCCGTTTTTAGTGCAAGGGCAAAAGTCATGCAAATAAAACTACCTACATAAAGAAGGTTTGTCCAATCATTCTCATTGTTCTTTGGAGTCTCTAAGAAAATCAAGTCAGTTCCCTCTCTATCCAGATCGAATATTATTTAAGAATATTAAAGTTTCTAAATCTTTCTTACCTCTACTGCAAAATTACAATTTACTTCTATATCTGTGTTTGCAATGCCTTCTCAAAGCCATAGCCCAGGAAAGAGCTCTAAGTTCCAGAGCAGCAAATAGGAGGAACTGCTAAATTAACCTCATATTGATTTACAATTAATGGTAGATGCTTTCTACATGCCCCACAGAAAACGGGTCTGTGAAAATGAAAACCTCACCGATCCACCTCAGGGTATTCACATTATTCCCTGACCTGCTTTACCTGTTCTTTTACTTGAATTTGCACCCTTCAGCTATAAGTACACTGTTACAAATTTAAGTCTTAGGCATATGGTATCATTACCACTAAAACAACAACAACAACTATTCAGTATGGCAATACTCTCAGGAAGGGGAAGTCCAAAAGGGGAAAACTTAAGGTGACCATCTTGCTTGTCTGCTGTGGAAAGTCAAGGGCAGATGGAAGAATGCTTCTTGGATACTCAAACCACAGAAACAGAGGGCTGGAAGAACTCTTAAAGATTCTCTAAGTACTCTCCCATTCTGGTTGTACATTAGAATTACCTGTATAACTTTAATAATGCAGATACCTAGTCCTCACTCCAAAATTACCGATTCAGACTGTCTGAGATTAGGGCCCTGCAACCAGTATTTTTTAAAAAGCACCTCAAATGGTTCCTATGTAGTCATTTTTGCACCAGTCTTGAGATCAGCATTTGGGAACCACTGAGCAGACAAATGTGAAATTTGTATCTTTGATTACAGGGAGCTCATTATTCCTATTTTTCCCAGGCAAGCATATGGGTCTCATCTAATTCTGTACACTAAAAGTGAACAACTTGGAGATTAAAATAAAACCAAGAGAACTTTGGTATTTACTATACATACCTACATTTTAAAAATTAAATCTGCAACATTTCTTCTAAGTATGTGTCTCATAAATTAGCATAGTGGAGACGTGATCAACATGGGTTTGAACTGCACAAGTCCACTTATACACAGATTTTTACCAACCAAACACAGAGTGAAAATACAGTGTTCCTGGAACACATACAGAAGGCTGACTTTTTGTACCTGCGGGTTCCACAGGGCCTGCTGAGCGACTTGAGCGTGCACAGATTTTGGTATATGTGGGAGTCCTGGAACCGATCCCCGAAATATACTGAGGGACAACTGTACTTATTCTCAAGACTAGAACGGTGCATCTGTCAATAAACAAGTAACATATCTCATACTCTTTGCATACATATTCTTATTTTTTTTATTTTTATTTTGTAGAGATACGGTCTCACTATGTTGCTTAGGCTGGCCTCAAACTCCTGGCCTCAAGCAATCCTCTTGCCTCAGCCTCCCAAAGTTCTGGGATTCAAGGCATGAGCCACCATGCCTAGCCTCTTTGTGTACGTATTCTAAAATACTGTTTTACCCAATATAATCTATGTATAGTCTATAGGGCATATAATAGGTTAAGATGTGATTTTTTTTTTTAGTCAAGGGTCTCACTATGTTGTCCAGTCTGGTCTTGTACTCCTGGCCTCAAGCAATCCTCTTACCTCGGCCTCTCAAAGTGCTGGGATTATAGGCATAAGCCACCATGCCCAGCCCTAAGATGTGATTAATGATAGAGTTTTGAGGTTAACAGCCAACACTGACAAAGGGTAAAAGCTTGTAGAAAATGGGTCCAAATTACATGTCTGCTGGGGGCATTAGGAATAGGTGGCCAGGAGAAACAAGAAAACTGTAGACAGATTTAGAATTTGCCTTGAGGTTCAAGTACCATGGAGAGCCAAAGGTGAGACTTGGAGAGCCAAAGGTAAGAAAGAACCAAAGGTAAATAATCTATTTCTTTGGATCTGAGCTAGCTAAGGAAGACCTCCAGTTTGGGACTGCAAGTGAAAACGTAATAGATTTAAGATAGAGTAGGTAGATTTCTCAGAGGATTTGACCAAGAAGAGTTGAGCTCAGGTGTCCTGAAACAAACTTCCAGAACCAAGAACCAAGCTGACTGAGGCTGAACTTACTATGATTTGCACTTGCCTTCCTACCTTAATAAAACCCACGCTATGAATGCTCTCAGCTATAAAATAACCTTTTGCACTTTAAAAAGGCTGGCCTATGTGTGGGACTATCAGTGACTCATTGATGAGGAGGGCTGTTACAGGAAATGAATAAAGACTGTTCTAATGATATCAAGGCTTAGAAAGCAAGATCTTTTACTTTCTTCACATTCTCAAGTGGGAACACCAGGAGTGACATGTGGTAGACAATCATCAGAGAGTAACTAAAAACCTTAGCCTAACGATGTACTAAAAACTAGAGATATATCTAGTTAGCTACCTATTTGAATTATTCAGATTAGTTCTCCCAAGCTAGAGATAAAATGCC